GGGGGGGGGGGGGGGGAGGAGAGTGTGGAGTTGTAACCTGAATTGGCTCCAGGTTGGCTCCAGGGGAAGTCTTTAAAGAAAGTAGCAGTTGTGTGCTATTATCAGACAACACTCACTGAAGGTGCATTGCCTGGTGACAGGAATCTTGGCAGTGAATTAACAGTGTCTACAATAGGTCTGACATTTTTACATGGTAATTATGTCAGAATCTGGCTAGATGTTCCCCAAACCCATTTCTTCTTCCTGGGTATACAGCTTGACTACATTTCCCAGACTCCCTTGCAGTTTGGTATGATCATATGACTCAGCTCTAATCAATAGAAAGCAGGAAGATATGTCCCACCTTTGGCCCTGCCCCATAAACTCCACTATAAAAGCAATCTTTCATGCACTCTCTCCAGCTCTGCTGAGCTCCTTCTTTATTTTTATAACTGTCAAGTGCAGAGCATCTAGTGGAGGACTTTAAGGTCCCAGGGGATGGAGGAGCTCCTAGAGGGTGTCTTTGAATGAACAACCCCCATCCACGACCATTGTACTGTGACATGAGCAAGAAATAAGTCATTACTATGTTTGTTTCAGTAGTTAGCCTACCCTGACTTATTTAGTGAACCCCACATTTTCCAGAAACACAAATAGCTCCTGAAAAGTTGATTTTCAGAATTTTAACAACTTAATAAATAATAATTTCTCAAATTTATGACTGAAGTGCTAAATAAGTAAGAAATGTTTTTAATTCCTTAAAACATAGAAAAAAAAAGCCCTGAAGTATATTTGAGTGTTATAAGTGATTTTTAAAAGCACTGTGAAAATATATGACTAGGATAATTACTATCCAAAATCCTGTTCAGGGAAACAAAGCAGGAAGCTGCCTTCCCAAGGTCAGACAGCTTGCTATTGTTAATGAGTAGTGAGAACTGTTGGTTCCAGTTTGTCTGACATGACTATTGGGCTTTCCCAGTGCACAGAAAGCTTTAACGTTTCCGCTCAGCCATTCCCAGGACTACCAAAGGCTTCATTCCATGGAGAGAGGTGAACTGTCTGATAACTTACATAAGAGGCCAGCAGGGCTGCTGAGAACAAGCTGTTTGTTGCTTGAGAACAGCTACCTTCTCAATTTGTCAAGCTTTTTCTTCAGAGGATGGAGCTGGTATATGAAAAAAGAGCTCTCTCTCTCTCTCTCTCTCTCTCACACACACACAGGTGGGTACAGGATATAATTTTATGTTCAAAACTGGTTTTATGGGAGACTGTAACTTGTAAGATTCCATTGTTATTAGTGGTTTGTAGGGCATATGACGGTGCAAGTATTTCAACCCCTCTTTTTCTCTATGAGTGTAGAATGAATTGGATAAGGTCCATGGGGATACGTCAGCTTCATTGTTGCTGGAATTGGACTGGACATTTGGATTGGACTTGTGACCACAATCAGGCTTCTTCTTACTATCTCTATCCCATTCCCTCCCCACTTCAGAGAGCATCTACAAAATAGGCCCTTACCTAGGAAGCTGAAAGGAAATTGATGTCTTATACCCATCAGGTCCTGCAAGTGGGAACAGAGAGTGGCCCCAAACTAGGTGTACTTTGCATGCAGAAGCAGGGATAGAGTGGAGTCCCCTCTGAAGGTAGCAGAATTCAGGGGTGGTGGTGGTTGGGAGAGAGGGAGAGAAAAAGAGAGGAACAGAGGGAGACGGAGAGGGACATAGAGACACTGTTGGAGCCAAGAATGATCAGTTTCTTCTCCCTCCTATCACTTCTTCCTTAGAGAAGAGTAAATAAGAGGAGCTGTGAGAAGTGGCAATGTTATTTCATCAATATTCCCTTCTGGGAGTAGAGAGGAAATTTTCTCATGAAAAAATGCTGCCAGGGGAATAGTATTCCCACTCCCACTGTTAAAGATCTACCTTTCTTCACTTCTAGAAAAAAAAAAAGGTAAAATCAGACAAATGATTAGATAGTACTGAACCTTATATATACTACGTTTTTTCCTATATGCAAATACCTGTGATAAAGCTTAATTTATTAGGCACAGTAAGAGGTTAACAATAGCCAGTTATAAAATGAACAATTATAACAATATATGTAATAAAAGTTATGTGAATGTGATCTTTCTCAAAATATCTCATTGTACTGTACTCACCCTTCTTGTAGATAACGTGAAGGTACTCCAGTCATCTGATAACTGAACTACTGAGTGACTAATGGCGGGGGGAAGGGAGGGCGAGGAGCGAATCCAGCAGGGAGACGCTGGACAAAGGCAAGATTTACCTCTCAGGTAGCATGGCGGGGTTACTCAGAACGGCACACAATTTAAAGCTTATGAATTGTCTATTTCTTGAATTTTCCATTTAATATCTTTGGACCATGGTTGACCAAGGGTAACTAAAACCATGGAAAGGGAAACTGTGATCAAGGGTGAGGGGGTGTGGTAGACAGACATGAGCAGAGCAAGGATGATGGTACAGAAGGTCTCCAGGGTGGAAAGCCTCAGGTGCTTAGCAAAGGACAATTGTAGGGTGGGCATTGCCCCCAGAGTGGCCTTCATCCCTAGCATATCGATGGTCATGCAGTTTGGATCCCCTGACCTTTCCTCTCTTGAGAGAACACTTAGACCTCAGTTGTATTTCAGCTCCAGGCCTAGAAAAGCAATAAACCAGACCAGCAACCCCATGGCTGACCTCAGGACCAGCTGCATTGAATAATGACCCCCTGCCCTGACGCAGCCACCGACCAATCAGTGGAGACCTAGACCCTGAAAGGACACACCTGGAAAGCTGCTGAATATTCTATTAAGAGCTTCCCCTGTGACCTCCCCTAAAATCTCCACCCTTAAAACACTTAGGGTGGAGGACCCAGAGGGCTCTCCCTCCAGGGAGCATGCTGGTGCCTTTCCCTTTTCAGTTTCCCTTTCCCCTTTTCCACCCTCTAGGTGCCTTACCATTATTTTCCTCACTCCCAAGCTCTGAGGGCCCTTCTTTTGCTTCCACAGCTTGTTTCCTGAGCCCATCTCTTGTATGAATTACTTCTTCTACCTCTATGATTTTACAAATAAATGTCTTCTTCTTTTAAAAAATATATTTTATTGATTTTTTACAGAGAGGAAGGGAGAGGGATAGAGAGTTAGAAACATCCATGAGAGAGAAACATCCATCAGCTGCCTCCTGCACACCCCCGACTGGGGATGTGCCCGCAACCAAGGTACATGCCCTTGACCGGAATCGAACCTGGGACTCTTCAGTCCACAGGCTGACACTCTAGCCACTGAGCCAAACTAGTCAGGGCAATAAATGTTTTCTTATAGTTTGGGTCTTGGCTCTGAATTCTTTCTGAGCCAGAACTCAAGTATGGAGGTTGCTGAACCCAGGTCTGGTCTGACCCTACCGGTCTAACACCCAGTGTCATTCCTGCCACCTACAACAGGGGGCTACTGTACAGTGGTCAGTCCTTCAATAAGTACTTTTTAAAGTTCACCAATCTTTGAGATACAATATGAAGTATCTCAGTATCACTCATGAAAATTCAGAAGCTCAAAATGAATTCTCCATATCGCCCCCTCCCAGGTAACCCAAAGATCAGCTGTAGGCAAAAAACAAAACAAAAAAACTATTAGGTTTCCATACTTTAGAAGTCAACAAATTTTTTCAATAAAGGGTCAGAGAGTAAATATTTTAGGCAATAACCCAACTCTGCCATCATAGTGTGAAAAGAACCACAGACAACACATGACTGTTCCAACCAAACTTGGTTATGGACACTGAAATGTTTCTTTTAACATATATGTTTATTGATTTCAGAGAGGGAGGGAGAGGAAGAGAGAGATAGAAACATCAATGATGGGAGAGAATCATTGATCGTCTGCCTCCCGCATGCCCCACACTGGGGATCTAGCCTGCAACCCAGGCATGTGCTCTGATGGGGAATCGAACTGCAACCTTCTGGTTCATAGGTCGATGCTCAACCACTGAGCCATGCCGGCTTGGCAAATGTAAGTTTCATATAATTTTTATGTGTCCTGAAATATTGCTTGGTGCACAGGAAACACTAATAATTTTTTCAGCCATTAAAAAAATGTAAAACCCATTCTTAGTTCATGAGCCATATAAAATCAGGTACTGGTCTTAGTTTTACAACCCCTGCTTTAGAAAACTTTTCCCTAGAAGAACCACTACTTTGTTCTGAGTTTGTGGTTATCTTTATGTAGGGCACTGATGCTGGATTTAAAAGGAAAAAAAGCATAACTTAAAGATATCTCTTGGCTATTCCCGAATATATTATTTTTTTTTGGCCATGATGGAGCTGAAACAAGTGTGTAAGTTTAGAACTGCAAGAGTATACAAAAATTCTCTTCTAAAATGTTCTTATTTACTGTCAGCCTTAAGTGATATGAATGTTTATAGTTTTATATTCTTATCTATTTTGAAGTTTGATAACTATTTCTTGTATTAAAAAAGCTGTTGTAGAAGTAAAGAACAGTGCTTAGAATTCCTTAGATATTAAAACATTTTTAAAATGCCATTTTCTCCTCCTGAGTTCTTGTTTTAAATATTATTGCTATTGGGTCACTCTGGGTGTGCCTCTTGTCCGTCAGTCCGTCCACCTATCCATCCATCCATCCATCCATCCATCCATCCATCCATCCATCTATTCATTGTTGAGCAACTTCCCTTCCAGCATCCCAGAACCCATCAGAGGCTGCCCCTCCTTCCTGCTCCACCCTGCAGTCTCTCATCCTTGGCTCAAGTCTCTGGGGCTCTTCCCTCTCCCGTGACCCTACCTCTTTGTCTGGTCCTTCGGCTTCTCCAGTCCCACCCATTCATCAACATCCATCTTGGGTCTCCTTCATCAAACCTTCCTGGTTGAGCTCTGGTTCATGGATTTTCTCTTTTCTCTAAACTCCCACAGCACTTAGCCCAGAGTACACAATTTAGCACTTAATTATACATTGTCTTTTATTGTTTGTTTTTATTTGTTGTGTCAGTTTTGTCTTTTCCGGTGAGGTTGCAGACTCCTTGAAACAACACATCTTTACTTTTTAAAAACCCCTTACAGTACTCCTGGAGGGGCACCACCAATACTCCCTGTTCTACCAGAAAGTGTTGATTGATAGGCACAGATGTGAGACTTTCTACCCATCTCTGTAGTATCTGGTGCTTAAGAAATATCTGTCAAATTTATTACACTGAGTTGAGTAATGCAGATCAGCTTCAAATATAGTATCACACCATCTCTGCATCCATTTTCTCATCTGTAAAATCAAGATAAAAATGTTTTCCCAACCTACCTGAGAGTTACTGTGAGGCTTAAAGGAGGTAATGTAGCTTTGAACTACACGAATGTTAGGGATTACCATACCTCATATTTCTTTTCATAGGAGTTGTAGGGGAAATTAGGGTTTGGCATTTATCACAAAGAGTGGGTCCCTTTTTAACCTTTGTTAGAATGGTGGGCCATTCTCAGGGGAGCCCAAGTACAGTTGGGATGGTAGGAAGAGAATAAACATGATCTCTTGGCTTGCAATTTCCCCAAGAAGGTATTACAGTTGTGGAAAATACAATGGTGGTGAGATTTTGAAATGGAAGTTCCCCAGCTAAGTTAGTCTTTGCTGCTCCCAACTTACCTGTCCTTCTTGTACTCTTGTCCCAAGCCTACTGCTGTCTTAATTCTCTCCTGGCAGGTCTGAAGCAAAATGTCATGTAAGAAAAACTTAGTGAAGAACTGCCTGCTTTTGGAGTGGATCTTCTCCTCTATTTGATTTCTTTAGATTCCAGAAGGGATGTATTACTTTGGCCATCATTTATGAATTGACAATTTTTCTTTATTTCTTCTTATGTATCTCCCCCTGCCTTAACCATCTGCTGATGTTTTTTCTTTTCCTGTACTTGGTCCTTATTTTAGTTGACCCAAATACCAAAGTCTATATCATTAGTGCTATTTCTTGAGATGTTGTTTTTGTTATTGTTGTTGTTGTAAAATCAAAGTACTACTTTATTAAATGAGTTATTTTACACATTATGAACATCAATATAATTACAATTGTAAAAATTTTTTATAACAAGGATGGACTGATTTTCACATTTTCAAATTAGAGTCAACTGTACATTTACACAGAATTGTCTTTGCGTGAAGCCCAAAAGGGAACAGCATAAAAATGAGTGTTTCTGTAGCCCCTTTATTTTTGCTGATCAACGTTTGTTAGATTATGCCTGGACATCAGCCAATTCTGGAGGAAGTGGAGTCTTAGGATGCTTGCTCTCAAAGTGCTGCTTGAAGGTCTTAGGGTCTGGCATTTGTGTCCTACAGACAGTGCAGGTATAGATTAAGGTAGCTTTGGCAGCAGCCTTTTGGTCATGTCCTTGTTTCTTCTTTTGTCCGGAATGCTTTTTGTCATTTTTCTGCTGAGACTGAATCTTCTGCTGTCCACGAGCCATATCCGGGCAGGAACAGTCTTGTGTCCGAGGTGAGAGACCTCACAGCGCGAAGGGGCTGGTGGAGGTGTCCGGAGACAGAGGAAAGGGGAGCGTACCCAGCACCGTTTCTGTCTCCTCCACCCACCGAGGAGGGGAAAGTGGAGCCACCGCTGCCTGCGCCCGCCGCCGCCTCAGCCTTGGGAAGGCCACTCGAGATGTCTATTTTTCCTTTGGGTTAGTGTTTCCCAGAGAGGCTGAATGCATGTACATGTGCAGTTCTTTCCAGGGCTTTTTTTTTTTTTACTCCTATTACTCTAGTATTTAATATTAACTAACTAATGCTATTCCTTTTTAAGGCTCAACTCCAGCTTTGAGCCATCTCTCAGAAAGTGGCCTAACCTCGTCGCCACCCTGAACGCAATGGGGAGTCACTGGGACCTCAGTCGTATGAAGATCTCTATCCTTCAGCTTTTCAGGACCTAACCAGTACAGCGGTGGAAAAAGGGAAGCCTCATTTCCCTTGCGTGGTCTCCTTTCTGGGAGGGGCTAGGCATGCGTTGGGCCGGGCACTTGTTCCAGCATCCCAGGGAGAAAAACGCCACAGCTTGCCCCGCCCCCTGGAAAGAGCCATTCTCCAGGTGGGTCCCTTTCCCAGCCAGGGCGGGGAGCAAAGACCCTCCTCCGGTGCGGGGTGCGC